CGCCCTTGTTCAACCTTGGACTTGAGACTAAGCTTCCCTCCAAGGCTATCTTCTCTTCTCCAATTGCCCAATTATGGACTCACTCGAACTATCTTGCTCTATGTATATTTCTCGGCTAAGTCGTGTGTTTTGAGAAGGAATACTTGGGGATTTTTATAACCAAAAAAACAGTCTAGGTTTTCTGGTTTTGAAGAGATAAAATTGTAGAATAGGATAGAGATTCATCTTCTCCATATTATCTCCTTGAATTTCGAATGGAAATTATCAATCTTGATGGAGATGAATCTTGAATATTTGTGGGTTTGGATATACACTAGTTCAATGGTTTTCACGCCACTTTCCTTCTTCCTTCTATCTTTTTTTTTTTCTCTTCTCTTTTTTCTTTTCTTTGCTTTTGATGGCACGTGATCTTGAGTGGTCTAACACAAGTGGGTTTCTTGTAGCTATTTTGCATTTGCCAATTCAAGTCCACTTTATTTCCCTCTTGCTTTCCTACCAAAAACACACAACATAATATTAAGTATCAATTATTATAAAAATAGATATAAAATAAAATACTAATAGAAAATAAGAACTAAAATTATTAAAGTGAATAATTTCATAAAATAACTAATAAAAAACAATTATAGGACTAATATTAGGGATAAATATAGGGTATATTATGCACTTATCATGTTGTAAGAAGCTACTTTTTGCCGGATTATTACATTAATTAAGGAACGTTTAATGACCCATTTTCAATCATTTTTATCCTTTTCCCACCCAATTTCTCCATAGCCCCCTTATAACCCCTAATTCCCCTTATCTTTCATTGTTAAATCAAGCACATGATAGCAACTTACAACATTTAGTTTTTATAAGGTAGTTTCTTACAACAATTTTTTTATAAGGTAGTTTTTCACAAAATTTGATGTATATAAGGTAGTTTTTCACAAAAAGTCCAACAATTAATCATATCATCCAAATTAAACTAACAATGAATTATGATATCATACATCTAGCCTAGAAATTAAGAATATCGTCCAAACAATTAATTATATCATACAAACAATGAATGATATCATCCAACCTATAAATTACAGATATTATCAAAGCAATTTATCATTTATCCAAATAATGAAAGATAATATCCAACCTAGAAATTAAAGATATCAACAATTAACCATGTCATTTATACCATAAAATATATAATCTTAGACAACTTTTTTTTTTTTTAATTTTAAAAAAATTTAAAGCAAGCTGGTATTAATTAGGAGATATCTTCTAGACACTTATGGGATGTTCTGTTCACATTATTTTCACTTATTTTAGGTCTAATAAGTTCAAATAAGTTTAATTAAGTTCATCTAAGTTCAGCTCAGGAAAAATAAGTTTTGATAAGGGTTGCCCAAGTTCAAATTTCTACTAAAATAAGTGTTAATTAGGTCTAATAAGTTCAGATAAGTTCAGGTAAGTTCAGATAAGATCATATAAGTAAAAATCCGATGAATAAAACACACCCTTATTCCACACTTTATTTCAAAAAAAAAAAAAAAAGTTCAGATCACATCAGATTAGAAAAATACGTTCATATCAAAGCATCGTTATAGGTGCAGTTTTTTATCGCTAAATATATTTAATTACGTAATAAAAAATCATAAAATTACATATTAATAAAATATACATTAATACAAATCTAACAAGACCCTACTTGATTTTTTTTTTTTATAGATTATAGTACACAAAAGGTTAAAATTTGGACAAATCAGCCAATCAGATTAGATCATATCATATAAGAAAAAATAAGGTGAACTAAACAAGAAGCCCTAAATTACATTAAAAATTGAAAAAAATATTTTAAAAAAAAAAAGAGGAGAGAGAAAATGAAGAAGATGATGATATTGTAGGAGAGAAAGAGCCAAACTACCATTAACAAAAGTGTTGTTCTAATAATACATACTCTGTATATATTAACAAGGAACAATTGAAACTAATAATCCCACCTTTACCTCATCTTCTCAAAATATTCCCACCTTTGCGTATTTTGGAAATAATCTCACCTTAACACCCCATATTTTCAAAACAAGCCTTTTACCAATTTGTGAAATTGGCAACTTGTTTTAGAAGGCAATATGCCACGTGCCATCTTTTAATTGGTTTTTTTTTTTATAATTTTTTAAAAATTAAATATAAGGAATAAACAAAAAAAACCCTGCTTCTTCTTCCTTCCCCTGTCGGAGCTTGCTGGACCCAGCCAACTGCGGATCGAAACAGCCGGACCTAGCCACCCCCATCCCCGATTCCCTCCCCTTCTGCAATTCTAACCACCATTATCACCACCGCCACCACCCTAACACGCCCATAGTGCAATAAAAAGCCACCACTTTAAAACTCAAATGGACAAATTAAGCACAATTGCAAACACCAAACTCAACTTGACCCATCATCATCTCCACTTGAACTTCACCAAAATTGTCAGATCAACCTCTTCTCTTTCAATTCCTCTGATAAGAATTGGCAGACATTCTATGGTGAAGCAAACAATTTTTACTCTTTCCCTTATTTTAGTTCTTTAATTAATTACTTGTTCTTCAACACCTTCTTTCTCTCTCCTCTCACACCCCAATTCTTCCGTGGATACTGCTTCTTCGTTCTCACTTTTCAACAATAATGGTGATAATTCGGCAAAGAAGGTGAAGATTTACATGTACGATTTGCCTTTTAAGTTCAATTATGGTGTTATCGAAAGTTATACGATGGCAAGAGGTGGGATCAAATTGCTTGTTGCAGATGATTCGGATTTTGGAGCTTAAGTATCTACAATACGAGAATTGTTTCTAGAATACAGGGAAGAGGGTGGGGGTGGGGTTGCTTCGGCAGGGATGGGGTAGGCAAATGTAGCGTGGGGGAGTGTTTCAAGTTGGGGTTCGGGATGGGGGAAACCGAGAAGGTGGTCAGTTTGGAGGTGATGGATGGGTAGGTGGGAAGGTGGTCAGTTTGGTGGTGATGGATGGTTATGGTGGTTGACATGGATGAAGGGGGTGAGGTGGAAGTAGATGGATTAAAGAAAAGAAAAAATTAAAAAATTATTAACCTGTAAAACAGGTTAAGGGTAAAAAAAACTTATTTTGAGAATATGGGGTGTTAAGATGAGATTATTTCCACGCAAAGGTGGGATTGTGTTGAGAAGATGAGCCAAAGGTGGGATTATTAATTTCAATTTTTCCTACCAACAAAAGTGTTGCTCTAATTAATAATATATATTTTAGTAGTAGTACGTATATTACTCTTGAATCTAAATGAATGAATATCACTCTCAATTTCACTCGATGTTAATCGTCATCCTTGTCACTTTGCTCGGTGAAATGATCGGATCGGAAGTGGTGGAGTCAGTGATGGTTTCATCGCTATCCCGTCACTTTCAGAGCTACTACCGTTCCTCATTTAGATTACAATTGATTGGTTTGATCTAAGCAATTTTCATATGATGATTACGAAGTTTCGCTGACGACAAACTTCTCCGAGCTTAAATCAGAGATTATTCCAGCAATATTTGTGCAAAGTTAACTTTCCTATGTGAATTTAGCTTTTCCTTACTACTCAATCTGTCCCTTATTTTTTGCTCCATTGGACTTTTCACGGTCTCCAATGCGCGTCTCCACACTTATATATCTTCATTTTTATACGTGTAAAAATTATAAGAACTTGATATTAATAAAATATACAATGAGGCGATTCTAACAAGATCCCACATGAATATATTATCACTTTTAGATTAACGATAATTTATGGTCAAAGTTTTAAAAGTTTGACCCAAAAAAATAAGGGACGGATGGAGTATATATTACTCCCTCCGTGTAATACTCCGTATTTTTATAATATTTTTGTATATAAAAATTATTTATTTATTTATTTTATAGATTAAAATGATTCATTTCATTTTTAAAAGAAATTAATTATTTAAATATTATGTAAGTGTGCACAAAATAATATGGGTCATTAATTGAGGCAATAAAAGTGTTTTGAATTGGGTCATCTTTATTTAAATAGTTGGATCAACTTGTTTGGAGATTGAGGACACTTAAGAGCCCAACAAGTTGGCCCCAAAGGAAGAAGTCAAGAGGGAGTGGATTTTGTAATGACAGTTTTGTAATTATGAGTTTTTGCTTTAAAAGGGGAGTATAAATACTTCAAAACATCAAGATTTTTCACTCTAAAATCATAATTATCAGATTTCACAAAAATTCCAAAGGTTTTCTCTTTATTTTCTCTCTCCTTTTTCTCCTTATTTTCCTATTCTTTTTCTCTCTTTCCCATGCCTCTCTCTCCCTCTTCTTCTCCCCTCACGCCGGCAGCCACCAGTGACCACCGGCGGCCAGCAGCAGCAGCCGGCACACCGTCATGCGCCACCCCCTCCTCCTCTCTCCTCTTTTTGCGATTTGGTAGTGTTAAAAAAAACCTCTTTTTCTCTGTCTAATTTAATTCTATTATTTTTATTAATTTAAAGCATGATTTTGATTATGTTTTGGTATTGATTTTGGGTATTTGACGTTGTTAAATTATTTATATAGTTTTCAGATTTTTATTCAATCAAAAACCCCAATTTACAAACCCTAGAATTTGGGAATTTAAGGTTTTATGGTTAGGGTTTGATCCTAGGTTGTTGTTGTTTAATTAATGATTTAAACATGTTTTTAATGAGTTTAAAGCCCTCAAATTAATGCTGAGATTTAGTGAATTGCTAAACAACGCTCCCATTTTACAAGGGAATGCTCCTTTTTTGACATGGAAGGACGATATTGCCCTGTGTGTAAGTTGTAGTATATAATGGCCCATTATGGGACATATTGGCATTATAATATCATTCTCGACCCCTCCACTTACTAGCATGTGGTAAAAAAATTCCCGACCCTTCCACATCCAACCCCACTACATCTGACCCCACCACATTCGATCCACCACCAAAATTTCGAGTTTTTTTTTAAAAAAAATTCTTAAGCATTAGCGACGGGTTTAGGACGATGGACGACGACAATGTTCGGACACCGGAGACTTCGTCGGAGGATTCTGTAAGTCGTCGGACTTTTTTTTAAAAAATTTTTGAACAAAAAGATCTGCCTAAAAAAATTAGGATACACTTAAAATTTCCGGATCCACCTAAGTAGATGCGGAAATTTAAAGCAGATCTCCACATCCGCCCAGAATTTTTAGATCTTCCTAGGTGGATCCGGAAATTTTAAGTGGATCTACCTAGGTGGTCCTAATTTTGTAGGCGGATCTTTCCTAATTTTTTTGTTTTGTTTTTTTTGTTTGAATTGATTAATTAGTTAAATTTATTATTATAATCTTTGTATTATTATTATCTGATATTTAATAATAATAACAATTTGAATTATAATAAAAGAAATAATATTGGGGAATATTGTTTGTTTTGTTTATTTTTAAAGGATTTGGAGTCTGAAGACGGCGGTGATGGTGCCAATTATAGTGTTAATTTCGTCACGAACACGTTATTTTCAATGTTATATGATGCAGTTAAATGGGCTGGATGCTGTTTCCATAAATCTGGGATTTATTTTGGTTAAATCATCTTACAACAAAACCAGAGATGGTCAGCCCTATCGATATTTGAAATGTGATCGGGGACGGAAGAGCAAATTGAGAGAATTGGAGAACGCGATACGGAAGGACACAAAAACCAAAGCTAATGCTTTTCCTTTCTACATCAAGATATATTATGAATTCACCACAAATAGTTGGAAGATTCGTGCAAAAAATGATGAAATTGGGACCCATAAACATCCAATGATTGTGTATCAGGAGGGTCATCGTAAAATTAGTGGCTTAAGCCCGGGTGCCAAAAAGGTTGTGCGTGACATGACAAAGTCCAAGGTTGCACCGCGTAACATCATGGCAACTATTGTAGAGCAATTTCCTGATGATCATCCAAACATCAGACACATGTACAATTGCAGGAATGACTTGAGAACGGAGATGTCTGAAGGCAGAGGAGTTGTTCAGCAATTTCTTCATTTGGCGAGATAGAATCAGTATATTTACTGGGTCATGGCCGATGACCTCGACGTTCTACAACATGCATTTATGGTGCACCCAATCACGGTAAACATACTACGCACATATCCACATGTAATCGGTATGGATTCGACTTGCAAGACCAACCGATACGGGATGCCATTCCTTGAGATAGTAGGTGTAACACCGACAAATCAGAATTTCCTCGTTGGTTATGTGTTCATGTGCAACGAGTGCACGACAAGATATCGATGGGCGTTACAGAGATTAAGGGAGTTGATTGGGTATGATAAAGAACCAACGATATTTTTGTCTGGCCGTGAACTTGGCCTATGTGCAGCATTGAGAGAAGTGTTTCCAGGGACGTCGCAATTTCTTTGTCGATGGCACATTAACAAAGATGTGGAGGCTAGGGTGACTGATATGTTAAAAAATAAGAAGATCGGTGAGAGTTTCAAAAATGGAAAATGGAAACGTATCATGGATGCTACAACCGAGGCGGATTATAATGTTGCTGTAGATACAATGAAAGCTAGGTGGACAAGTTATCCGGCAGTGATTACTTATGTTGAGAAAACATGGCTTTGTCATAAAAAAAAAAAAATTTGTGACATATATTACGAATCAAGTTCTTCACTATGGTAACACGAGTAATTGTAGAGTTGAGAGCCAACATTCGGCAGTGAAGACGTGGTTTTAATCATCGACAAGTTTGTTGTTATAATGTTGTAGTTGTTGTCTTTACTTCGTTTTAGTAATTTTAATAAAAATCATAATGTTTTTTATATTCTGAATCAACGACAGGTTCTTTGGATACCGTATGGGCCCGAGTACATTGTCATATTGGTAATCAGATCATTGCAATTCGTGATGGTTTGGAGGCATCAAGATCGAAAATTGGTGAGAAGTACAGACAATTGCCACTGTCACGTATAAATGACAAAGTGTCTCAACATTGTTTGAAAATTCTGGATGATGAGACGACAAGGATAAGGGAGTTGAGTGACAGGTGTATGAACGTTGTGGTTGTGCAATGCGTGTGACCCATGGTCTACCATGTGCTTGCCAGATACATGATTTTCTAGTTGCACATAAGGGATTGTATATCAGGAAAATTCATCCATTTTGGAAGACCTTGGTTATTGGTGATGGTGTTGATATACCTGTGTTCGTTAACGATTCAAACGAGGAAGTTTCACATTTTTGTTCCCTGGTTGATGAGGTCATTGGTAGTGATCCTGCTATACTTCGAAATGTATCTTGCATCATTGAAGAGGAGCTGCATCCGGATCATACAAACCTTGAAGAACAACATGTAAACCACAATGTTCGAGGTCGACAAAGGAACAATGATACCATGCGTGATCCCTGTTATTTCGAGCATGTAAACCGTCAAAACAGTCAACGTGGTACACAACAAACAGGTACGACCTCAGGTAAGTCATGAAATTAAACTTATTAAGCTTAATGTAAATTACACTTATTTCATCTTGTAGCGTACTAATAAATGACCATTTGTTTTGTGCAGAAGATCAATGTGACATCAGGCAATGAAGGTATTTGCACTTGCTTCCAGGACCAATGGTGCCTTACATCACGGCATGGAAGGATGTCATTGGTGATGGAAACTATGGCTTTCGTTGTGTGGCTGACTTCTTCTTTGGTGATCAAGCGTAATGGTTTACCGCTCGGGAAACAATTGCAAATGAGGTCGCCGCTCATCCAATGTTGTACGAAAGGATTTACGGGATTGGAAGGCTTGGGTTGAATATAACACGTATTCGATGAGATGGTGGGGCGGTTGATATGCGACATTGGATGGTAGCAATTCAGGATTTATTTCGTATTTCTACTTGGTTCAACGCAAGGGTGATATGTCTTGTTATAGGGAATGTACCAACCTACTACTACCCATGCATCACGGTGTTACCGTTGCGGACACGAAGCACAGTTAGGGCACCCACTCGAGAGTTCGTGATCGCTACAGTTGGTGGGTCACATTTCATTCGTCTTGATCTCGCACAGGATTCACCTCTTCCCCCAATTACAGGTTAGTGGACCGAGCACCACGAGCTAAGTGTTGTTGGATGGGATCAGCAATATGAAGTTAGAACAAACATATGGGATGCATTATTTAGATAGTGAACATATTTATGTACTTTTATTAAGGTTGAACATTTGTAGTTATGTAATATAGATTAATAAAAGTAATAAAACTAAGATCCAACAAAACCAAATATAAAAGTGTCCAGTTCTTACATTACATGCCGAATAAAGAATAATAAAAAATAAGTAAGACAATTAATAAAAATCAAACCACTAATTAAAGTACTTAAAGATAAAAATAGTCAATATTTTACAATCCAAAAATCTACAACCCCATCATCGCGTTCCAATCAACTACCAGCTGCTCAGTCATTGCCCTAAACTCACGCGACATGTTGGGATACTCAGCAAGAACTCTTTGGTGAATCTCCATGGACCGACCCATCCACTGCAGAGAAGAAAACAACATATTATAGACATTAAAATTACTGGAAGTAGGATTAATAGTATAACTAAACCAAAACTACTTACATAATCCGTGTTAGTCCTCTCGGGTAGACCAGTACTCTCAGCTGCTGAACCCCCACGAGATACACGAGGGTGACAAAATCTATACAACGTTGCATGTAACCAGGTGCAAATGTAGGAGGTCGATGACCAAGTTTGGTGTAGGTACCTAACACTACACTGAAAGACGAACCAGGGACAAACCTAGTCCACATAACAGATGTCATCTCATTCGAAAATTCTACCCAATACATCTTCAAGTTGGTCGGTCTCTTGGCCTTCTCAGGCCTGATAATGCTCCTTGGAATGTCCTGCACGAATCTAAGTTGTCGAACCACTCGATTAGGCATGTACGGCTCAATGATGCTACGGTACTGTATGCAGCCAATAAATAAAGTGGTAGGCACGTGATCTGCAGGATCAACTCCGTACAGTAACCAGTTAACCTCAAGGTCAGTTAACTCATCGAGTCTACTACGAAAAGCTAAGAGGCGCTCCATGCTCTTGTTGGGGCATCCCGATTCAACATCCCAAACAGACGCACGAGGGATATTAAGCTCCCTCGTCAAAGTACCCTGTTGAGGCCGAAAGCACGGAAAGTACTCGTAAATCACGCTTGCAGAAGCGTGAGACAACAAGCGATCGAATTAGTATCTTTTCGTGATGTTGTACCCAACTGCCGATACAGGTACGTTAGAGTAGCTGAACCCCAAGAGTACTCATAAATCGGAACACCTTCAACAACAAGCTCGTGGAGGAAGGAATAATGAGTGCGGTTACCACTCTTGTCTAAAAAAAGTGATCCTCCTAGTACTAACCACATGTATGCAGTATCATGGACACTAAAGGGCCTTTGTGCCTCCAAAGTCGAACCAAAAATCCTCTCAGTCAGCACCCCACTACCCTGCCAAGTGGTTTTAGTACCGTACTTCTCATTCAACTCATCCGCAGTCAAATCCATGGTAACCGAGCACGTGTCCCATACGGTGTCTGTTCTAGGGGTAGTGGAAACCATGGAACAATCAAAACGAAGCCCAAGAATATGGTACAAATCGTGCAGCATGATCGTGATCTCCCCAAATGGCATATGAAATGTGTTCGTATCTGGATGCCATCTCTCAACAAAAGCAGAAATCAACGGCCAGTCGAGACGCTTATACATAATCCCAGGTAAGTGAGACAGACCACTGCCATAAATCAACTCGAGGTGCTCCTGGGCAAGACGAACTCGCCAATCAACCAATGCAGAACATAATTGTATCCTACTCAAACCGCGCAAAACTTCTCGCTCCTGCCCGCCCCATATATATGACGTCACATGACCACCAAAACTAGGGATAACACTCCCATCCTCAGGACCACCTGGCATCAACTGCTGCACCAACCATGTCTCTACTGAGGTGGTAGTAGGTTGACTCGCTTGACTACTAATAAATCTCCCATGCTGACCCCTATATACCGTATGAAAATCCTCAGGGTACAAGTCTTCGTCTCGATCATCATGATGTACCAGCTCATCGTCAGGCGGTCCACCCGAGTACATAGGGAGGCTCCCTTGTGACTTATGCTCTCCCGACTAACTACTAGGAGACCCATATTGCTGCTCATGACGAAGCGCTGCCCCCGTAATATTTGAATGAGATGACTCCCTTCGAACAGACGCATTCAAACTTCGTGATATAGCATGACGAGCACCCGAACCCTCAATCTACATTAAATATGTTCAAAATCAAATGTCAGTAATAATTACAAATATAACTATTTGATTAAAATTAAACAACCGATATTAATATTAAAAAAAAAAAAATTCAGAACAACACCACCACCAACAACATTATTAATAATAAGGACGATAATAATAATAATAATAATAATAATAATAATAATAATATAATAATAATAATAATAATAATAATAATAATAATAATAATAATAATAATAATAATAATAATAATAATAATAATAATAAAGCCACTTCCTTAAAAAAAAAAATTAAATCACGAAAAAAAATAAAAATAATTCAGGACTTCCGCTTGAAATATCCGGATGAACCAAGGAGGATCCGAATTTTCCAAGCGCATCCACCTTCGAACATCGGATTTTTTAGGCGGATGGGTGGATCCGCCTTAAAATTTCAGATCCTCTTAAGTTCGTCCGGAATTTTCAAGCGGATCCTTCTGAATTTAATTTTATTTTTTTTTCAATTTTCAGGTGGAATTCATACCTGCTTGCCTCCAGTGCCGCCGCCTCGACCTCCATAAGTCAACCTTATTTCGCGCCGGTCTGCCATCGCCGGAACTTCGTTGGTCTCCCTGGATTGGTGGCTGTCGTTGATGGGTTGTGGCTTTTTTTTTTTCTTAAAAAAAATTTTAGAGAGATGAAATGAGAATGAAGTTACAAGTGAGTTGTGATATTTTCAGAAATGAGAAATGAGTATGAAATGAGAATGAAGTTACAAGTGAGTTGTGATATTTTCAGAAATGAGAAATGAGTGTTGTGAGTGACGTGAATATTTATTTACGAGGGGTAAATACGGAAGTTCGTATTAAAATGCGAGCGGTGCCTTGTAAAATGGGAGCATTGTTTAACAACCCCTGAAATTTATCTATGCACACTGATTTTTAATTATTGAGTTAGGGTTTGATTACCCATAAAAGGGGATTAGGTTTTAATGATTTAAATATGATTTCCTAGCTATTGGTGATGTTTTATATTAAATAAGTATGTTGGAATTTTGTTCAAGTCATAAAAATTAAGTCTTTTTGAAAGGATTTGAAGTACCCACTTAAAGAAAAGGTTTTATGGCTTTTATGTCATTAAATTGGGTTAATTAGTAAGGTTTAAAGAGTATTATAGTTGCTGGAAATTTGTGAGAATAGTAGATTAACTATACTTATGTGTTCTTAATTGTAGGAAGCTTCGAGCTAGGTGAATTCTAGCGAGTGTGGTCGAGTTTAGGCATTATTCAAGGTACATATGTGCACAAGAATATTTGTGTATGCGTAATATCATGCTAGGATTTGTACAGTATGATGTAAGTGATGAATTAGTAGCATATTTGGTTGATTATATGATTGAAAGTGATGTTAATTGAGCATGATTTGTTATGCATATGTTATTTAAGGCATGATACAAGTTGAGTATGTATGAATCATGGAAGTATGTTTTATTTTCAAGTATCAAGAAAGCATGTACTTAATAAACAAGGCTTATATATGAATTAAAGAGCTAAAGTTAGAATTATTGAGCATGGTTCATGAATTTATTTCTTACCCATTTATTATTGGTGTTGAGTCAAGAAGTTAGTTTATTTATTTACTCACTCATGTAAGTTGAGTTTGAGTCAAGGAAGTTTAGTAGTGCATTTTATGCACCAAGGTAGTAATCGTGCAATTTTGGTGCACAAAACCAGGTAAGGAACCTTAATTAAAATAAATAAATAGTATGTGCTCACTAATTAATTCAAGAATGAATTGGAAGTATGTGTGGAGTGTTGCTATGTTTATTCTTGTTTGATTGGTTTGAGTCATCTCATGTTAAATTGGTAAATCACGTAAATTATAAGAGGATACGCACCAAAACTCTTGGAACGTATATACCTTGAGTATGAACATATGGGGGGGGGGGTTATGAGGTTCTATATATAACCATAGCTTCTACAGGGGTACAGGACGTTGTACTTTATTTTATTATTAATACGCTAGAATTCCGTCACAAGGTGACATAGTAGGTGCCAATTAGGGTAGCTCCCTGATTGGAAGCTCAATATTTAAATAGGCTATTTTCAAGGAAGGAAACCCATTCGGTGGGTAATCCAAAATTATTATTAATAATTACTATTGCTAGCTATGAGTCAAAGATAAGTTGACTTGTGATTGTGTGGCGGGCATGTTTTAATTATTATTTTTATTTTGATGCTAGGATATTCATGTTAGTGTGGTGAATATGTACTCAACTTTGCTGATTCATACTTTTGTGTTTGTGTTTGGCTTTCTTTTGGATTGACCCTACTATGACCCATTTTTATGGTGAGTAGAGAGTTGAAATAAAGAGGAAGTAACAGGTACTTGAAGCATGAAGAGCATGATGGGATAGAGTGTAAAGAGTTACTTGTTATGTTTCTTAGTTTTAATATTTTTGAATTATTGGTTTTTGTCTATGGAATAACAAAATATATTATGTTTGTTTTTAATTGGTTTTAAGAAGGGCCATGGTTGAATTGGTTCCAACTTGTGAATGTTTTATTCTACTTTTGTTTTGAGGTTGTGAACTCAAGTTTTATTTTTAAAAGTTGGTTTTTGTTTTTAGACTTCCACTGTGAGACTTTGAATATTATTCTTAGCCGTTATTACGGTGGCGGTAATATTTTGTATTTCCTAAAAAGGGTTTCATTTAGGGTAAAAGGAGTATTTTTAAGGAATGAAATTTCCTGGGTATTACACTCCGTTTCATAATTAGAAGCCTATTTCCCATTTTTCACGGGAATTAAGGAAATTGGTTGGAAGTACAAATATGCGTGTGTGGTTAGAGAGAGATAGAGAGAAAGAAAAAGTAGTTGAGAATTATTGAAGAGATGGAAAGAGAAAGTATTGAGAATTGATGCCAAAAGTACAAAAAACAAAAAGAAAAAGGATGACAATCATCAAAAAGAGGGTATTATTATCAAAAAGTACTATATATAAATAGAAACAAGCTTCTAATTTTAAACACCCAAAAAAGGAAAACAGGCTTCCAATTATGAAACGGAGGGAGTATTACTTTCTCTCTTTATGTTTTGCAAATTCCATGTGAATTTAACTTTCCACGGTACTTTTACCACTTTCTCTTTCCCCTTCTTAATTCCAGTAAAATTTGCTCAAATGGGACCATAAAAAATGGACGGAGGGAGTACTTCCTTTCTCTCACATTTTTTTACTTTAAAATAAACAATAAAGTCAATATAACTTTTTTTTAATTATTTAATTCCAGACTATTGGGGCTTCAAACAATTTAAGTGAGCCCTAACAATTAATGAAGAAGAATTCTTATTTAATTTGCCTAATACATGATGCATAATTTTGGTTTTTACTCAATACATGTATAAGTAGAGTTGGAAATTTACTCATATTTGATTATTACTCGATCCAATATACGCCGTTTAATATGAAATTCTAACTTTCCTTAAATCATTTTCCCAATATTTCTAATAATGAACACTTATTAAACTAGGCATGCATAATGGCAATGCACTTGAAAATGACCAACATGCCTCGACCTAAATCGATCTGAACTAAATATCAATTTGAATATTATTTAATCCAAAAATTATCCAACTAAAGAGATGATCCAAACCCCTAATTGAGTAACCTTGACCAATCGAGTAACCCACGACCAAGTAATCCCGACCACATATGAAACTCTGTGTATTTCTTAAGATGAAAAGAATAGGGTTAGGGCCTAATTATTGTTTTTTTGACAGCCTAATTATTGATATTATTACCAATTTACCATTAATACCTCCAAATTATTTGAGATGGCCTAATATAAATCTTTTGGCTTCACTACTTCACCTTTAGTCATTTACCTTCTTGAAAAATTAACATCCCTTTTCCACAGTTGATTTCTTCTAGAGTGAGAAAGAGAAACAAGAAGAGTGAGAAAGATGAAGCAAATTCCGGGAGACTACCTTGCAGAGCTCGAGGAGCAAAGTGCTGCAATGGCGATGGATGTCGACGATGTTGATCCTCTTGAGGTTTTCGGCGAAAATTTAATGGCTCCTGACAATTTCAAGCTTGCTGATGCCGATTTCTTCAACTTCTTCTCCGATGATTTTGATGACACTGATATCAATTGATTGACTCACCGTCTTCCCCTACCTCGCTTTCTCTCTCCTAGGGTTTGTGTCAATTTCTCTAATGTTCGGAATTGCTTTTACCATGAACAAATTTAGGGTTTTTGATTTTGTTATGTAATGGATTTCTGAGAATTATATGGAAATTTGATGGATTGATGAAGATATTCCCTTAATATGATTTGTTTCGTTTTCTCATAGTAATATCTCCTGTGTTGTTAAAATCTATCATAATCTTATGTTTTTGATAGAATTGAAGAAACTACAGTATCTGCTACTGAAGTTTTGCATGCATTTTTTTGTATTTTGTACTATGATGATACATGATTAGCTGATGAGAAAACATTATTATAAAAAAAAATTAAAGGTTTGAATTGTCATGGGGAGCCTGTACATTGGACTCCTTACGTTGCCCTTAGTCGAACCCGTAGAGGCATTGAGGTATCGATGCTGTAATTTTCTTATTTCACTGAGTTGTACTCCGTATTCGAGGGGACCTAGAAATATGTTATCTTCCTCGAGGTTTTCAGAATCATAGATCATCTTGTAACGGCCATTAATTGGTATGTGTTGATGGGTAGATTTATACATGTTAATGTTATGGGTAGCTAGAGTAGTTGGAAGAGTTTTTAGAATGAAAGATTTTGATGAGATAGGGATGTACTCTTGTGTTAAGACCTATGAGAACTAAAAGAGTGACTTGGCATCCTGTAGTTTTCTTATTTTTAATTCGTGAAGCGCGTTGTGATTAATACTTCGTATTTTTCCTAGTTTTTATGATTTCTAAGATAACTGCTAGCTCCTTTTGATTTATGCATTTCCTAGTTTCTATGATTTCCAAGATAACTGCTGGTTTGATAAGGAAAGGAAGGTATTCATAGTTATATAATATCTTTTCTGAAGCCGGTTATTTATTTCTATCTGAATTTTATTTCCTTGTTTCGCCCCCTTATTTTGGTAGCTTCGACGTTTCACATTTGTAGAGTTGAGGGTGTAGTTAGATGACTGGAAGAATTAGTCAGGGTTGTGTGGCAACTGCTCAGAAGTGTATGACTGAAGTTTTTTCTATACATGGTATATATATGGGTTTCCGGTGTAAGAACCAGAATCACAGGTTTCTGGTATGAAATTTTGATTGAGGAACTGATTATTTTATTGGTAAATACCAAAAAGAAGAGCATATATATCTCATGTCTTTCATGGTGTGCAAAATTGCAAACTGTCTGGGACAGATCCATAGTGGTATGTTTATATTAATAGGAATCAGATCAGATGTAAGGTCCTAGAACAAATGCTACAGTATTTAGCTCTTCCTATTTTAATAAATCCGAAGCCTGGAAAAAAATCTTGCTAGGCGAAATACAACAGATTTTGAAATAGTTAGTAAAACTGCACATGGAGGTAAACACACTAGTACAATGGCCAGCCATAGTGACCGAGCTGATGTCAGAGCATATGCACTGCTCACAAAAGCTATCAAGGTTGCATAGAAAGATAGTTGAAGGATATGGATGCTGAAAGGCAGAAGAAATCTTGGCTGATCATCTCGCTGAGCAAGCATCATTGCCCAGAGAGTACTGAATAACACAAATGTATAGCCACACATAGCAGTTGTATTTGACAGCATGAACACCTTGAAAACTGTATCCCGTGTCAGAACAGCGTATCCACGTTGATCAAACCCACCAGGGATTGAGAATCCTGCTGCAAAGGTGATAGCTGCTAAAATTACAGCTATGATTCCAAGTGTGCTGAACTTTTTCTGCATTCTTTCGTTAGCATTTTCTGGACAAAGTGTTGTTTGGTTGATCACTTGAGGTTGACTAGGTGTTTGTTTGTCATCTAAATGCATTACTAGCTGGTATCCTATTTCTGCCTGCAATTGAATATAAAAAATATATCATTATTGTTGCATTACCTTATTAGTCCTTCAATTTATTACGAGATGCCTGGTACAGGTTACAGAAATTCTAGATATAGCTGCTTACCATGTTTTCAGAAAGTTCTTGTAGTTTGATTAAATCCCATGGAGTGTAACCTTCTTTATTCCTTAGATTAATTCCTGTCTTATCAGTATCTAGTATCACCTTGGCCATAATGTGGTCAGAGTTCCTTGCTGCTAGATGTAAAGGAGTATTTCCTTCTATATCTGGTATATTAATCAGCCTCTTCAGTGCTGGAATACTGAGCATTTCTGTACCTTCTTGATAACTTCCTAATTTCATAAGGTGCAGCACAGTCTTGCCATTAGGGTCACAAATTGTAATTGACTGTGGACAATGGAGAAGAATTGCACGAGCAGCTTTTAACTGGCCAAGACTGGCTGCGATAAGTAAAGGACTAAGACCTTTCTCGTCACGTAGATATGCACATGATTTCTCTGTCTTAAGTATTGCCTCCACATGTCCCTCTTTATCTGCTACTGCTGCATAGTACAAAGCATTTTGCCTGCGTCGATCTGCTTTCTTTGCTAGTTCTGGGTGTTTAGCTAGAAAAAGTCTAACAACATCCTCTGCATCACAATATGGTTGATATACTTAGTCAGTTAGTTGCATGGAGAAGCTGTTTATGACAGCATAGATCATTGTTTCATTAGTATGATTACCATGTATGATCTCAACTTTCACATAATGAGGGTGGTAGGTTGACTAATTTATAGTATACTAGCATCATGACCCCCCGCCCTAATTGGTCCTTTTTTCCTTATTTATTTCTTATAGTATAGTTTAATAATGATCCAAATATCCAATGCATGTGTAACGTATCTGATGTTTCTTTTATATACCTCATAGTCTCATACTATCCTGTCCTCAAATTAATGTTCTCTTAAGGTTGAGCAGACATAGTAAGAGTAGACAATAAGGTACTATAGGCTTTTTGGCAGATAGTGGAAAATCAATATTTGATTGAGAGAGTTAATAGAGAGATAGCGAGCTTGGTTATGGTGAATATATGAATTAAAAAAACAAATACACACATTATTTCTTCGTGCCGACCATAAAGATAGTTGAATATCATATTGTATATTTGTCTTTCTACAGAATATATTATCTAAAGGAAGATGAATTTGAGGTAATAGTTTTTGGTTTGAAGGGAATTAATAGAAAATATTATTGGTAAGGATCCAATGGTGGGTAAAGGAACTGTAATCTAGGAGTTAGATAAAATTAGAGCAGAATAGTTGCCGGAAGTGTGAATATGTAAGTCATACCTGTGCAGTTGTGTATTGCTGCGTGTAGTGGAGTCAACCCAGCTGGCGCACTTAAGCTGTAGGTAACATCTGAGGTTAGGATCTTCTCAAGAACTTGCTCATGACCATATGCTGCAGAAAGATATGGGGTTCCTTCTGCAGCATTGTTAACATAATTAGCCAGTCTCGGTTCCACATCGAGCAGGTACATTGCTACCTCCTCATATCCATTCCTGAGAGCCTCGTGTAGTGGTGTGTTTCCACTTGAATCTTGAACTACCCATGGATCGGGACTGGTACCTTCTTCAACCACCATGAGTGACAGCATGGTGGATCTAACCTTCTTATCTTTGACATTCTGCAAGTGAGACTTGTAAGAATTTACTAGCGCCTGCACTACTTCAAGGTGACCTAATCTCGCAGCAATATGTAATGGGTTTTCCCCTTGGGAGTTGCTGCGGTAGATTAGAAGAACTGCTGCCGGAATTTTCAGCAGAGCCTTCACTATGAAGCCATAGTGGCCTCGGCTTGCTGCCAAGTGAAGAATGTTTTCCCCGTCTGACGTTTGACCGAGGAAGTAGCTCTCATCTGGAGCTGCTTCTCCGTTTTCTTCCCCATTGGATTGTAAATGAATATCATTGAGATAGCCTTCATTTCCTTCTCTGGCAGCTGTTTCGAGATAAACATCCATGGGTGTTGTCATCTCAAGTTTTCTGGTACGGTGGCTCTCCTCTGCCCTTACTTCCACTGCTGAGTAAGGTGGTGGTTATTTTCTTCACCTCAAAGTTGAAATGCTTTTAAAGCACATCATAGTCTTTGTCCACGTTTTGCTCACTAAGTGCAGGTATAGTTCAATAATTCTGAGGAAATAGAATAAAAGTATATCGTATTGTTAAAACAATGTTCATTTGATTGAGGTTAGTTACATACTACATAGTGGAACATACATGCAAATTTAAAAATAATTTTGCATGACAATCGATGTAGTTGAATTAGATGGTTGTTACTCGACCAAATTAGATGGTTGAAGTTGATCACGGCACGACCAAATTAAATATGCCAACTTTGCTTTTGCTGATGTTATTCAGTGATTTATACATGCATAGAATGTCTTCTGTTTTATGGAAAAACAAATAGGCAAAGCAATCATGAGAATTATGGAATTGAGTAATGGAAAATCATTTAATAATACTCTCTTTGTCTCATAATATAGTTCCTGTTTTCCTATTTTCGGAGATTTAAAATGTTGTTCTTGTTTCTATTTTTGGATAGTATGTAAAGACCATTATACCCTTACTTTTTTAACTTTATTCATTGTACATCCTAAATTACCCTTGAATTTTGCACATGCCTTGTACTTTTTTTCACTTTATCTCTCTAACTTTTGTCTATAATTGTACTTTTCACTTTTATTAATGTACTTCATTCACTTTCTCTTCCTATTTCTTAAATACCGTAAAAAAACACAAACAGAAACTATAATATAGGACGGAGGGAGTATTAATATCTAATACCAAGAAAAAAGGGGTGATTGTTTTATAAGGCTTATTTCCTTGGTTGTTTGTTAGGCTTGTTTTATCATTTCTTTTACTCTCTTTTTCTCCCAAAGTTTTTTAGCATCGCTGCATGAATAGCATGCACTACTATAAAGGGTTATGAGTGCAAATGTGCAATGAGTGCAAAATGTGCAATGAGTGCACTTGCAAGCAGCCAAGCATGATTAATTCAACATGAACTAGATCATATTACTCACCTTAAAATAACTCATGAACTTAGAAAAAATTGTCAATTATTACTATCTTAAAAGGGGTGCATTATTAATTGTTACTAAAAAAAAAGTAATTGTACTACCCTTATTTATTGAAGACAACTTATTGTCGAGCTATGCCCGGTTAATCTCCTTGATAAACATAACATCAAGGGGTAAATACATTTGGACGCCGTTTGTCTAACCTTTCTCATGCCTACTGTTTCTTCCTCAAGTGTATTCACCATCTATTGTAATCCATCCTCCATAACTGTGGTAGAGCTTTAGACCTTCCCCACAAAACCCCACCAAAAACCCGCCTCCAAAAAAATCTAACAATTCCCCAAAATTTAAATTCTGGAAATCCTTCAAAACCCATGAAATCTCATGCTTAGTTTCTTCAATAACAACAATGGAGGAAGGTTAAAGTTCAACATTGACGCAATTTAACAATGAACAAATTCCAGAGTTCAACAACATGATTTAATAATGGAAGAATTCCCGCGGTGAAAGATTTTACAAAAAGCCCTAAGAAAATTATGGAAATAAATGGAACGATTAACCCCGATAGGGTTGGGTGTTTGTCGTGGAAGGAAAATAAATCTTCTAAAAGGAGGAAGTTCAACAATGGAGGATGATAAAGCTTCATTAATTGAGGAGGAGAATGGCAACAAATGAAGTTGCTTCATGCTAACAAACAACTCAAACTGACCAAACTTTGGTAAGGTATAGAAGCAACTCAGGTTGCTAGGTACGTAGACATTAAATTAGAAAACAATTTTTTTTTTGTTACAACATGTTTCAACACCAAGGCAAGTTATTATATAAGTGCCGTTTGATTAATAACAAATGTTTTCCCTGTGATAACCTTGGATTTTCTCCTTATTTCCCATGCCAAAGAAAATTGATAACATCCGCCTCATTTGCCAACTGTCAATTTCACATTAGCTACAAAGGAAACTGAACAATAATTTAAATTTGTAATGTTTATATGCGAGTTCAATTAATTTATTTATGGTCGTTTGGTTTGCACAGGGTAATTGGAATGGAATGAAGAAAGGGAATGAAAGAGAATGGAATGAAACCCTTTCTATGTGCTATGTTGTTTGTTTTACAAAACAAAGGGAATCACCACCACCACCACACAACCCCTCTTCCCCACTTTTCCAGCCACTCCACCGCCCAGCCACCACCTCACTGAAACTCGCCGCCCGTAGTCGCACATCCTCCACCCCTTCGCCGCCCCCTGAAAACCGTCGGTCGTCATGGCTTGTGTCAGAAATCGCGAACCTGGAAATCGCGAACTTGCTGCTCCTCGTGGCTTGTGTCAGAATCTTGGGCAGCGGAGAGGTTGGGTTTGCGTGGGATGGCTTGTGTCATGGCTTGGGTAGGAGGATGATTTTCTAGGGTTTGCGTGGGCGAGGGAAGGTTTTTCATGGAGGGGAGGGGGAGGTGCGACGGGTTCCGACGAGGTGGCTGGGCGGTGGGGGCAACTGGGTAAGGTAGTGGCTGGTGTGGATATGGTGGTGTAGTGGTGGCTGGAGAAAGGGAATGCAAAAGTCTAGGGGGGGAAATCAATGTAGAAGGATTTTGGGTATACTCAAAAATAAAAATGGGTAAAGGGAATGAAAAAAATGACAAACAAACAGCAACAAAGGGAATGAGCCATGTTCATTCCCTTTCCCTTTGTTTATTTAACCCCAACCAAATGGCCCCTTAATATGTTATAGTTCATTTTCTCTCATTTCATCGGATATACTTGTATTAAGAATTGTTTATATGTGGTACATCTTATAATATTCGTATGTTTTTTCCTTTTACTTGAAAAAAAAGGAATAAAATACTAGAAATCACATAATGTGATGTTTGGAACATTAGGTACATACCTCTTACTAGATTAAAAACTAGTTTTTAGCCCGAGCGATGCCCGGAGTCATATATATATGTATATATAGGGGAGGGATCCGGTAAAAACCCCTTCTTATATAAGAACACGAGAATATATATAAGAACTATTCTAATCCGTAGGATTAGATTAGATCGGACGGTCGAGAATAGGGGTGTGCAAAGTAATGGCATTGATGTAATTACAGCCATCTACAACCCAAGTATACAAACCCTCATCATTTACTTTCTCTCTCCTCAAACATACCCCAAACTTCCCTTTAAACTCTCTCTCCTAATATTACTAGATTCTCTCTCCAAAAACCACCATAATTGCTCCAAGTCGAACACAATTTCAACCAATTTCTTGCGATTTTCGCCTTATATTAGCTAATGTTGTTCATAAACTTGCAAAAAACAAGTTAAACCGAACAATTTAAGCTGACTTTTCACAAAAGAAACCCATGATTTTCGCAACAACAAATCGAAGTGAAATCTAAATGAAACGAAGCGACGAACAAGAGAATCTTACTGAAATTGGTTACGAATTGGAAAGGTAACTAATAATCTGATAATTTCAAAAAAGTTAGGTCTTTTTTTTTTTTTTTTTTTTTTTTTTATCTTTTGCTATTTTTGATTTATATATTTTGAATTTGCAGCAACAAGCAAGGTGAAAAAGAAGATAATCCTCATATGTTTTAAACTAAATGCACCTACTAATCTACTACTACAAATTCCTAAGAATTTTCTTCAATTTGGCTTTACGTTCTTAATTTGTGTTCTATTTTTTTATTATTATTATTATGCTTGTTATGTTCTCAACTTATAATATGAAGCATGTATAGTAAATTTAGATCTGTCAATTATTGATTTTTGTGATGTGAAATTATGATCTAAAGAAGGTGTATTATGTTGTAGAAGTATGTGTATTATGTTCTAGATTATATCTAATTAATATGGTTGTTATGTTCTAAAATTATAATCTAAAGTATATATAATATGTTTAGATCTGACAGTTTATGCTTTTTTTTATCTAAAATTATGTTCTGAAGTATATATATTACGGTCTAAAAATGTCTATTATTATGGTCTGAAAAAATGTATGTTTTGTTCTACAGTTAAAGTTTATCTATTACTCTTCGTTCTATGATTATGTTCTAAAATTTTGTTTTTGAAGTATGCCTATTATGTTCACATCTGAAAATTTATACTTCTTATGCTCTAAAATTGTGTTCTAAAGTGTGTCTATATATGTTATAAAAATATGTTCTAATTAAATTATACCTATGATATCTGTTATGTTCTAAATTGTGATCTTCATATGTCCTCATTCTTATTTTACTCGTAGCAAAAGCATGTTCTAAAGTGTAATTTATGCATAAAATTTTAGAATATACCATAGAAAACTTTAGAACATATACATAAAATTTTTAGAACATTGCAAAAAAATTTAGAACATATGTAGAAAATTATAACATTGCAAAAAAATTTAGTACATATGTAGAAGATTATAGCATGCATAAAACTTTAGAACATATGCAGAAAAGTTTAGAACATATGTAGTATATTTTTAGAACATATGCAGAAAAGTTTAGAACATATGCAAAATATTTATAATAGAACATATGCATAATTTTTATATACTTAGAACATAGGAAAAAAAATTGAGAACATATATTTAGATAACTAGAAAAAAAAAATTAAAAACACAAGTAGAAATTTTAAACATAGACAAAAAAATGTATATAACACAGGCAAAAAAAAAAAAAAAAAATTGATCATACATGTATTTAGAACTTAGGGTTATTGTAATGGTTTAATTAAATTTCACGTTGGATTACATTTTATTACTAAGTATGCCAAAAACCTATTAGCTCAAGTGATAGAGCACTATGCAAATGCATAGAAAAGGTTGGTTCGATTCCTACATAGATTATCTCTAAAAATAACTTTAAAAACTTCAAATGTAAACCATATCATAATAACTCATAAGTTTTTTTAAAAATTTGTAAATCAAATTAGTATGTAATGCAGTATGAGTTAAAAAATTGGTTTGAAAGTTTATCATAACAATAATAATTTAGAATGTTTTATTTACGATTTGAATAAAAATTTAGAATATTCGATTTAAAATTTAGTACATATGGGCAAAAATTTAGAACATAGATAGTAGTATTCTTACCTAAAAAGTGTTCTTTCATAGAGGAGGTGTTCTTACAAGAGCCTTCCTCGGGGAGGGATTCGATAAGAACACGAGAACACTTTCTTATGCGAGAACACTCTATGTTCTAATTTTTTTTCTTATGTTCTACATTTTTTCCTAAGTTCTAAATTTATTTTTCCTATGTTTAAGAGTTTTTTCTTCTCATGTTCAAAACTTTTACGTATGTTCAAAAAAAATTTCTTATGTTCTAGATTTTCTTCCTATGTTCCAAACCTATGGTCTAAATATTTATCTTATGTTCTAGATTTTTTTTTCCTATATTCTAAATTTTTTCAACCTATGGTCTAAATTTTTTTAGTTTATGTTATAAATTTATTTTCCTATGTTATAAAGTTTTTTTTTTTTTTTTTTTTTTTTTTTGCTTATAATACAAATTTTTACCAATGTTCTAAATTTTTTTTTCCTATGTTCTAAAAATTTTCAACTCATGTTAAAAAACTTAAAAAAAAAAACCTAAAAAAATCCTACATAGGTTATCTTTATAAAAATAAAAATAAAAAACTAAAAAAAAAAAACTTTAAAAATAAACCTAATTATTTCTCCTTATAGCCTAATTTAGAACATAATCTAATAATTTAGAACATAGGAAATAATTTTAGAACATGTACGAAAAAAAAAAAATTAGAACATGGGCTCTAAACATAGATTTAAAACTTAGGAAAAATTTTAAACATAGGATAAAAGTTTAGAACACAGGCAAAAAAATTTAGAATATAGGTAAATAAAAATTTAGATCATAGGTAAAAAAATATTAGAACATAGATAGAAAAAAAAATTTAGAAGATAGCAAAAAGTTAGTATGAAGGAAAAGTTTTAGAACATAGGAAATATAAATTAGAACATAAGCAAAGGATTAGTACATAGGAAAGATAGTTTAAAACATTAGTGAAAATTTTAGAATATAGGGAAAAAAATTTTAGAACATAGGAAAACGTTTAGAACATACACAGAAAAAATTTAGAACGTGGGAAAAATTTAAAACATAGACAAAAATAATAAAAAAAATATAAAATATAAAAAAAACATAGAAAAAGTTTTAGAAAATAGGCTGAAAAATATAGAACATAGTCAGAAAAATTTAGAATATAAAAAAATCTTTAGAATATAGGCTGAAAAATTAAGAGCATAAATTCTATACTTTATGTACTAATTTATATACTTTATGTTCTAAACTTAATACCTTAGTACCAAACTACATATTTCATGTAATTTTTTGCATATATACTTTAGAATAAAAAAATTTAGAATATAGAGGGAAAAAATTAGAACATAAGAAAGGTTTAGAACATAGGAAAAATAATTTAGAACATAGAGAAAAATTTAGAACATAGTAAAAAAAAATTTAGAACATAGGAAAACGTTAGAAACATAAGCAAAAAAAATTTAAGTTTTAGAGCATAGGCATAAAGATTTAGGATTAAAAAAATATTTAGAAATACTCAGAAAAATTTATAACATAAACTCTATACTTTATGTTCTAAGTTGCATGCATCTTACTACTTAATCTCAATTATTAAAACATCATTAGTTGTTAATCATACAAACTCTCGTCTCCACATTACACAAATGAGCCTACGTGGGATTCAAACCCACATCTTTTATGCTTTTGCACAATGCTCTACCCGTTGAGCTAGTAGGCTAATGTATATAAAACACTCGAACTAGAGAAAAAACTACTACCAACTATATGAGATAATCACAAAAGTAATTTTTTTTCTTTAATCATATCCTTTTGCACTTCTAAACACTATCTTTACTGTCGTTTATTGTTTTGATGATCGATTACTTGCATTAAGGTGGGTTCATTATATTGGCTATATAATCAATCTATCATTAGTAGTCCTTTAAAGCAAAAGTTATCCCAAGTTAAGACTAGTGCTAATCAAGCAAGCTTTGACAAACATGCTAAGATTGTCTACTTTAGAACACAATGAATTACTTTAGAACATAAAGAGTATACTTAATATATGCTAAATAAAAGTTTAGAACATGCTAAGATAGTTAAATAATAGTTTAGAATATAATGAATTACTTTAGAACACGGTGAATTACTTTAGAACACAGATAGTAAACTTTATAACATAGAGGGAAAACTTTAGAACATAAAGAGTACACTTTAGAATATTGAGAGAAAATTTTAGAACATAGAAGGAAAACTTTAGAACAACTTGAATTATTTTAGAACATAATGAATTACTTTATGTTCTAAATGTCCTTGTAACATAGTGAATTATGTTCTAAATGTGTTTTTGCTTAGAACGTAGTAAATAACTTTTTGTTCTAAATTTGCTTAGAACATAGTGAAATACTTTAGAACATAGTTATGTTCTAAATTTGTTTTTGCTTAGAACATAGTGAATTACTTTAGAACATAAAGGGTAAATTTTATAACATAGTGAACTATTTTAGAACATAAAGGATATAGTTTAGAACATAGTGAACTATTTTAGAGATAAAGGATATAGTTTAAAACATAGAGAGATTAATTTAAAACATATAGGGTAAAGTTTAGAACATAGAGAGAAAACTTTAGAACATAGAAGGAAAACTTTAGAACATAGTGAATTACGATATGTTCTAAAGTTGCTTTATGTTCTAAACTATAAACATTATGTAATAGTTATAGCTAAATTCAAAAACACAAAATGTGGCAAAACCAACAAATTGTATTGATAATAAATCAATAAATTTTATTAAAAATAAATCAAACAAATACACAAAATTCTAGGGGAAAAAGAGTTGCATATAAATTTAATTATAGTAGACTAATCAAGTAATCATGCACAACTACTCAATTATTACATAAGTAACCATAGGAATTCAGCAGCTCATCACAACCCGTAATTATTTTTGTTTTTAAGAAGACTTTCTCAGCGCAATTGAAAGCACTGTATATAAGTATTGCAATGGTGAATTTAGCTAACCTGCAACAATCAGAGTAGCTACAAAAAAGAGGAAGGCTGCCATGAAGCAATCAGGGGAAAATTAGCGTTCATGGCACCCCCACAAAGGCCTAACAGGTCCAACAGGGACCTTTTACACTACAGAAAATAAAAGACTGAAAGTAAAATACAGTAATAAAATAAACCAAGCAGCAACATTTCTAGACAAAAGGGGGTCTGAAGCAAACTCAGGAAGTACAACCGTAACCTGATCAGTGCCCATTAGTAACATAGAACTTCACCAACTTTAATAGCTAGGACATATTTTTTTTATTTTCTTGTTAACTATAGAAACCACTAAAGGACATGGGTCCATAGAGTAATCCATGAAAAAATACGGAGTGCATGCTATTGCTTACAGGATAAAGCATTTAAAAGGATGCTTATTTCGGCTTGGTGCTGTCAAAACCGTTTCCTGGTTGAGCTTGTTTTCGACTCATCCATAGAGTTCGAGCTCCTAGCCCTAGGCTTCTTGGTGCCAAATTTGCCAAGCTTAGAACATATTGTGGCACCACAAAAAGACTACTAAGTAGAAATATATGTGCACATCAAATTGAATAGCAACTTTAAAACTTAAAAGTCGGTTAATAATAGTTATTCTAAGGTCGTACAGAGAAGGTAGCTTACTGATGAAACCAAGGTAGACATGTGCATTATTCAAGCTATTCCATCCACTTTGAAAGGTTAGAACACAAGCCATTCATAATTTTTGTAGAGCATACTTGTGTGTTCTAATTATATCCATTGTTCAGATTCTTTCCGCTTCAAATAATTTCTTGTAAATCCACTATGCTTATGTTCTAATTAATTTTTCTATCCTTATCAAATACAAACCAAGCAAGTTCAATTGACAATGTAACTAGGAAATTGGCAGATTTTGCAATAATCTATTCAAAGAATAACATAATTCTACAAAATATATAACATCAGACTGAATCAATATGTGAAAATACAGAATATATATTTAGCATAATATCATCCAGAAAATCAATCACAATCACAAATTTTATAAATTAAACATAACTCCTAATAAACGAGCAGATGAAATCGTAAATAAAAAACAAAAAAAAAAATCGAAAAAGTTAAAGTTGAAATTGATGAAATTAGGAAAAAAAAAATCAGGAAAAATCGCAAAAGCTGGAAATAAAAAAAAAATATCGCAAAATTTGGAAAAAATAATCTGAAAAATTAATGCAAAAATTGATGAATAACATGAAATCAGGAAATAGAATGGATGAAAAAAAAATCGCAAAAATTGATGAATAACACGAAATCAGGAAATAGAATGGATGAAAAAAAATCGCAAAAATCGAACAAAAAAACAGGGAAAATCGATGAATTTAACAAATAAAATCGCATAAAATTGAACAAAAAATTAAAATCTAAAACAATTGATAAACTTACAACAATTTATCCAAAAGCTGAGAATTTTTTTGATTTAATCTGATGAAGTTTTGGCTGCCGAGGAGAGAGAAGCAGGTAGCGTGAGGATAGAGAAGTAGCGTGAGGAGAGAGAAACAAAAAAACGTAGTTTTGTTTGAAAGGGGAAAAAAAATTGGATTGTACAAGATCCTCAATATTACATACTACGTATATAAGATTGATTTAAGAGGGTTCTCTCTCTATATATATATATATATAATTAAATTGATATGAGTTTAACTAGGAATCTGAGATATTTGGATTTCAAATTAATTACAAATGCCGTTAATTAATAGTGTCTTTGATTGCAAAGTAGTCTCAAGTTCTCAACCAATCTAGCTTAGGGAATGTCGTATGTCAATGCCTTTGATTCAAATTAGCTACTCCCTCCGACCCTAAAAGAACAACCCTTTTGGTCAAATTTTAATCCCAAAATGTTCCTCTCATTTACATTAAAATATCCTCTAATTTACAATAATATTTATGCAAAATTAGCTTTCTCATGTAAATTTTGTTTTTTTCCATGTACTTTTATTACTTTTCTTCTCTACTTTTTCTTTGCAAATCCTATGTATATTTACCTTTTTAATGCACTTTTATTAACTTTCCATACACTTGTATTTCCCAATTAAGTTTATTAATACTTGTGAAAACTTTCCAAAAGGGTCGTTTTTTTAGGGACAGATCAAATGGAGTACAAAATTCACAACTAGAATTGTTTTCCCTAATATAAAATCTAATGATAATGTATCGGAATACTAGCTATCAACTTAGTTCGGTTGAAAGAGATAATTAAAAAATGGCAACCACAAAAGTACAAACTCATGTTACAAAGTATTATACAACGTATGTCCAAATCTGAGCCCATAAGACTCGTGAATCTATGATTTTGTCCAAGAAATCAAACGATTAGATAGCACTTTTAAAAAAGCTTTTAAATGATGTTTCATAAGCTTTTTCGATTTATATTGAATAAGATATGAGCAAGATATTAAACCCGGACCCAAAACATTGACCCGATTCCAATTAGATTAGAAAGTAGACTTAAAGAAATTTCCAACGATAATTTATAAGCACTATTTCAACTTTGGAATAAAAAATTACCGGTTTTGGAAAATCAAACTTTTTTTTGTAGAAGTACAATTGGTAAAATCTGTGTAGAATCGTAAAATTTGTCTGATTCTATCGATTCTATTAGCAATTCTACGAATAAATGACTTTGCAAGCTATGATTCAAATCGTTTGGGTGGATTGGGATCATTACATTTGAATCGTGATTTTAATAATAATGGTTGTATTTTTATTTTTATGTCATTGAGTCAGTGTTGTGTTGTGTGTAAATCTGCAAGCATCGAGTTCATACCTATGAACTAGAAGTACATGCCAGATGTAGTCGATCTGTAAGTGTCTCTTTTAATTGTTGGTTGGTACACCCGGATCAAAACTAGTTTTTTTTTTGTTTCTAAAAAAAAAAAAAAAAAAAACAACAACAACAAAAACAAGAACATAACTTATATTAGTAATGAACATCACGACTTTATTAAAGAACACAACATTGAAATATTAAGAACGTGATAATTTTGGTGAATCGGTTTTTTAAAAAGGTAAAAGATAATTACCAATTGATTTTTACCACGTATTTAATGTCAAATCATTTCAAAATATTCAGTTTTTTATAATTTCTCTCTCTAAAATTATTTTTTATCAAGATTTCATTTTCAAATTTCAAATTTTAAAATTTGAAATTTGAAATTCATTTTCAAAATTTCAAATAACAATATTTTTTATTCTGTTCTCTTTCTTTTTTAAAAAAAAAATCTTTAAATAACCAATTACATATTTTTATATTTTGTTATAATATTCATCTTGGTCATGTGTCTCTATTATGATTCATTATATGATTTTAAATGTCCATGTTTTTTTTATTGTAATTTAATGTACCTTTATTGTCACATAATGTTCATTTCTTATTGTGAAATGTTTTCTGAATTATGTTTTAACATGTTGGGTAAATAATATAAATTATGTTCTTTAAATAATATTATCATGTCCTTTATTAATATGGCGAATGTTCTTTAGATCTATCGAAAAATCAATCATCAATAGAAGAGGTCCCAAAAGTATGTCGTCTTCATCAACCTTTGTGATCCTGATTTCAAAAAATATACATATACACAAGTAGATGATTTTATTTTGAAAAAAATACGCAATTAGATGAACATAGTTTGTAACGTTAATAACACATACTTTAAATCCGAAGAACATAATTTGTGACAATAATAAACATATAGTTTAGACCCAAAGTGCATATTAATTAAACTCAACGAACATATATATTCTAATGAATATAGATCAAAAAAAATTGATAAGAGAACATTTATCCTAATCCAAATGAATTTCATCTTCAACCTCCGAAAAAAACACAAATTTTATTTTTTTTTTAAAAAATAAATTAAATAATCAAAAAAAAAATTACATTTTCTTTCAGTGATGAATTCGTTAACAATAATCCATGAACAAATATCATAATCTAAAAATATCATCATCAACAACAAATTATGAAATATAAATTGAAAAAAATAATTAAAAACTACCTTCTCATTTGGTGACAAAATCTAAAATTAAATATCAATTGTCAAAAACATCAATTTGCTGATCATCAAGTGCAAATCGACAATCATAGATCGTGACGAAATTCACCATGAGCCATTATTTTCTCTCTAAATTTTTTTTTTCTTTCTCTTGAAATTTTATTTTCTCTCCAAAAATTCTCTATTTTCTCAAAAATTGATTATAAACAATTATGGATATGGGAAGCTAAAATTATGGAAAGGAAATAAAAAAAAAAAAGCCTTCAATTAAGGAGCATAAATTTAGGAAGCTGACTTTTATTTTTTTTGAATGACAATTTTCATCCTGGTGTACAATGTAAATTTCATGTCTCTTTTCCCATCTTTTAAAATGTTAGAGATAACTCTTATTATAATATTTGGACAATTATACCATCTAAAATATTTATTTACTTATTTGCCCTTATTTATGTTAATTGCCTTTTTTTTTTAACTCTTAAGAATAGTGTGCGAATATTAATATCCCTAAAATATTTATTTTTTACATATTTTTTCTAATTAATCATATCAACAACAATTTTTTAAGGCCAAATCGAAAGAGCTTTCGGACATGGTTAAGTATGTTGTGCACCTTAACCGTCCTTTGATTTAATACTACAATAAATTTGTTTTGCCGCTACGTACAAAGAAAGAAAGAAAAAAAAAAGATACTCTAGTATTTATTACTTGATCTATTTCTCCGAACACGAAATTTTAGGAGGAATAGTAGAAAATATGGCCTTGTTTGGCAAATGACTGTTGGCTTTTGGCGGTTGGCTGGTTCATTTGGCTTGTTTGACCAGCTGGAATTGTAACACCCTAGAAATTCCTTTCCTTTAAAATACCTGTTTTGCCCTTTTTAAAATACGAAATAGGAAAATCTAAGACATTACCGCCACCGTGAAAACGGCAAAGGCAAATATCAAAGACACTCAGCGGAAGACTATCTTAAAAAAAAAATCAAATGAAATAAAGTTTAATAAAATCAACTCAAATTTTTAAAACCAACTTACACTAAAACAATAACTTGGAACCATTAAAGGCCCCTTTAAAACCAAAGTAAATATAAATATTAATTAATGTTAGTGTCAACAATTACATAAATAATTCAATACAATAAATAACAAACAAAGAAACATGTAACCCTCTTCGCTCAACCCCATCATCCTTGATATGCTTCATCACCTGAAAACTTCTCTCTACTTGTCCCCACTACTTGCCATTAGAAATGGGTCGTCGTAAGACCAAGGTAAAGACAAGGCCAAACAAACATGCAAACACACAATCAGCAATGCTGAGTACATAAGCGTAATAAAACACACTAACATGCTTTTATTCTAACATCACACAACTTACCGTGTTTCACCTGTTTACAAGCGTACAAAACATTCAACACCTAACTAGACCACTATCAATGTTCATTTAATTTTGATTACACATCAACGGGTTTCCAACCAAATCTCTACCTCAAATAAATTGAGGTAAACTACACCGGGAGCTAACCGGGTAGGCAAATGTCACATAAAGTGACTGGACGTCCTGCGCATAAGATAAATAAAAAGGAAAATACAGCGTACTCTCAGTAGAAGTTATGGTTAAATATAAAACCCCATAACTCCCTCCATATGTTCATACTCAAGGAATATACGTTCCAAGAGTTTTGGTGTATAATCTCTTTCACTTTACGTTATTTACATATTATTATATTTGGTGATGACTCTCAAACCATAGCACAATCAAACATAATAAATCATTCAAGCAATCAAACATACCAATTTAATTCTTGAATAATTAGTGTCCACATAAATTTAATAGTTGAACCCTTTTTAATCTACCTCAGTGTCAAAGACACCTTAATGCGCCGCAAACCTTATCCCTTGGTGTTAGAAACACCTTAAGTGCATAATAAGCACCGCAATAAAATTTATTCCTGTGTACTAAGACACTTATTAGCTCAAATCCCATGCTTAAAGCATCAATAAAAATTATATGAAGCATAATAAAATTTCCTTTTCATACTCCAAACCAAATTAAACATCTAGTTTAATTAAACATGCTCTCTATCATGCCAATAATAAAAGTGTGGTTCATATCCAACATGCCAATATAATTAATTCCAATCACCAATTCACCATAAATAATTCATACATCACAAATCATTCACCAACATCAATCCAATCACAAATTCCAATCAACACCTATCATGTTGCTACTTGGAATTAATTCATCAAAGCCTAGCATGCTTCTACACATTCAAATAAATACCAAGTACGCGAACGTACCTTAAATCATCTTTCCAACTAGCCACAATGCAAGAAATTACTCAACTTAAAGTCTCCTACAATACCAAATACATAAACTCAATTACTCCCTTGATTACACAAATTTCCAGCAACTTTTAAACACTTTAAACCTCTCTAATAAGCTGAAATTTTGGTTTAAAACCTTTAAAACTCTTTCTTTAAGTGGGTAATTATAACCACAAAGTAAAAACTCATTCATGGTGTTTATATAAAAATTCCAGCACACTTTTTAAGATTAAACCCCTCAAATAAATCTGAAAATTATATTAAAACATTAATCCTTCGTTAAAAATCAAAAACTGCCCGAAAACCATATTTAGAGGCTGA